CAACTGCTAAACAGTGCACAAATTTTCCTGTTATCTTGTGATACAATGATAAACTGTTTTTTTTCTGTCTTGTTCAGATGACCTTGTAAAGCCAGATTTGTGCTTTTTTACTCACCAAGAAGATGGCAGTTACACGTGGAAGTGTGAAGAAAGAGGTCAGTATCAGAACTAAATGTTTTATTTATGCAGGCTACCTTAGATGTTTCCAAACCACACTGATGCAAAGTTCCTGGTAAAAAGCTTCATACCATCGAAGCCTTTTGGTCAATTTTCTTAAGTCTCTAGCAGGTCAAGGGATAAGTCATCAGCCAATTTTAGTAACGCTCATGATTTTTCTTTATTTTTGGCTTTAGAATATTTTAATTCCAATCTACGTATCTGACCAGCTCTTACCTCCCACGTTGTGCAATTCGTTACCTCATTATCCAACTGCACTAAGTATAGCGCAAATAACGCGAGAACTGGGTACAAATATCTCGAGATATTGTACAGTTATTTGGTCGGATGGTTATTTTGTACTTAAAAACATTCTTTTTGAAAAGCGTGGTTTTGATTGTGCACAATTCCCCCTCAAGAAAATTCAAACGATATTTGTCAATCTCTGAAAAGTTATTTGTCACAGCATGCTCGGAAGTTTTCTTTCCGAAAGTAGTGTTCTGCCCCTCTCAAACCCAGTTTGTAGTCGTCCTTTAACTTTCCTTCAACTTCCAAGATCCAGTTAGTGATTCTCCCTACTTACCGTCATACTATTCCTAGTAAATCAGACGAGAGAATTTAGTCTTATTCCAAAATAGCCCCCCTCTAGCTGGGTTTCTAAATACACGACCCCACCAGCTCTGCTGAATACTCCATCATGTATAAATAAAGATATCAGTCAGTCAGTAAACTTGTCTGTCTGTCTGTCCTCATAACCTGCGTACAAGATAACTTATTGGAATTGGAACGAGAAGTTATCACCATCTTCACTGATTTATATCATCATCATTGCGCAGAAGTTAAGAGTTCATCACCTCTGCGAGTTAAAGTGCTAAGCTTCTGTTCAGTAATACAACATGCACGAGGTTTATCTCCAGAGTGGCTCATTTTCGGATCTGACATGTTTTACCCATGACGATTTTAAACAATTTTATTACACGACTGGGGCAGTCAGAGGGCCAATAACTAAAATCAACCAATCAAAATGCTCTATTGCCGGTCAATATTCTCTCAGTATTGGACCGGGCACTGTCCCGAATGGTCCCGAATGATACCGCACTTGTGTCCCTTTGAACTTCAGTCGTATAATAAATCTCTTATTAACCAAGCCTGCTCGGGACCGTACCGGAAGAATATCGGCCCTCGGTCCGTACTGTCAAGACCTCGGGCCGATATTCTCCCAGTACGGCCCTCGCACTTAGTTAATAAGATATATTTATGACATGTTATGATTTCTAAATTGTGTTCTTATCTCGTTGAATTGCTATACAGAGGCACAGTCCATTATCTTGACAGACTCTCATTGTACCGGTTAAGATAGGGTCCACATATGTAGTTTGGAAAAGAAAAGAAATGCCGGAATTCGGAACCGGAACCGGAATACTCGGAATACCCGGAATTCCCGGAATGACTGAAAAATAATAAATTTTAGAAAGATATAAGTAAATAAATAAATAAATAAATAAGAATATTGATGATTAAAAATTAATGTTGAATTCACAACTTAACACACCTGTAGGATGTCTTGGGCGCCATAGCGCCATGACCATTAGGCCGCCACGCTTTTCCAAGAAGAATCCATCAGTACAAGGTTTATATTCAAAGGTATATATTCAAGGTATATATAATAAACGTGAAAAGGTGTCGATTAACTGACGATCTCTCAATTTGACTGTAGGCAGCTGGTCTTAATGGTAGCTGCTTTGATAGCTCCAAATGTGTGTTAATAATTATTTAAGGTAGAGTATTAATTTGTAATAGTTCGGAGCTTTTTATAACTGAACTATTAAACTAATTGGAAATATTTCACTTGTTTAATCTTCTGCAATGGTTCCGGTTGGAAAAGCGTGGCGGCCTAAGGGTCATGGCGCTATTGCGCCCTAGACATCCTACAGGTGTGTAAATGGGTGGAGGCGAATTTGAAACGGGGAGTAACCATGTGATGGACTAGCATCCCATTCAGGGGGAAGGGAGAGTACAAATATTTCGTCGCTTAGGCTGTATGGGCTACTGGGCTGACGCAGACTTTTTTTAATTCTAATACGTGCATCTCCATGAACAGTGCCGGCAAGTGTTTTTTTTTTTTGGGATCCTCTGAGAAAAAAATTCGTATTAAATTATCTAATTAAATTGCGAATTAAACATTAATTTTTAATCAAAAATATTCTTATTTATTTATTAATTTACTTTTATCTTTCTAATATTTATTATTTTCCGGTCATTCCGTGAATTCCGTGAATTCCGGACATTCCTGTTATTCCTGGTATTCCGGTTCCGGTTCCGAATTCTTGCATTACATTTTGCAAACTACCGACCACATATGATGTTGTTTAAGGTTCCTTTCCCGATAAAAATAAATGATATATTTATAAACCTTAACGAAGTTATTCTTATCAACTCTCTATTTATAACGTGTCAAGTAGTTATCTTCCAAAGATAAAGCTTTAAAGCTCAAGATGAGCGTAAAATCTTTTTTCCTCGACAAAATACACAGTGCACCATAAAAGCCTTTTGTCAACGGTGAGTGACAAATGAGCCTAGGTCTTCCCAGGGAAGACTTCCTTATATAGCGCGCCTTCGTGTTTAAAAGGAAGCTTTGCACTTATTATTTCACGCAGGCGTTATCATTATTATTTCACGCAGGCGTTATCATTATTATCTCACGCAGGCATTATCATTATTATTTCACGCAGGCGTTATCATTATTATTTCACGCAGACGTTATCATTATCATTTTATGCGTAACAAGTCGTGAAGTTTTTGTTCTTCTATGCAGGCTGAACAGCTAGTATCCTCCTGGAAAAATCATTTACCAATCATTTAATCAAACACTAAAACACGAATTCGATACCATGAGTTTCCATGGTCTCAACACGCAACACAGTCGGGGGGGGGGAAGTATGTATGTTACCCTATTCTTTGTCCTGAAAGGAAGATGCAGCAGCCTGGTATTCCCTCAAATTTTGAGCAAGAGAGTAGTGTAGGTTGCCTCTTGCTCCCTCCCCCCACCTCCCATTCTCACCAAGTCCTCATGTAGGGCAGGAAAAGACGAGACTTGATTGTTAGAGTCGGGTAGGTATCTTTTAATTTGGATATATCAACAAAGTTGAAATGGTAAATTGGCCACCGTAACGATCACAAAAGCTGACGTTTCGAGCGTTAGCCCTTCGTCGGAGCGAAGGGCTAATTTCGTTACCCCCACCGACGCAGCGCCAAAGAGTTTCTTTAGAAACTATCAGCCTTTATTCATAGGTGTCTTTTAGTCTTCTCCCTTCTTCTGCTTCAAGAGAAGTATAGAGTTCGGCTAGGCACTGCTCAATCTTAGCGTCTCAGTTTTTTGCTTGCAGCACCCAAGTAGACTGAATTTAGACAATAACTTCTATTTTTGAAATAATAAGATGGCTTTTTCGTTGTTTCGAAACGAGGACAGATTGCATCCATTCCTCGCGAGGAAGTTGATTTATTTTTACCCGGATTATTTTCTGCCAACTGTCGTCAAACTGCCTGTCAGTCAGCTCTTCATCTTTCTAATGGCGGCGATGGATTGACCTTGGGACAGGGTAACTTGCAGTTGATGAGAGCTGCTTGCACAGAATAGCATCAACTCATCGCCGGCTTCATTAACTCCGCCGAAAAACTTCCATCCACAAAAAATAGTTTATTCGGCTTGCAAAGGGTCTGAAAAAGTCACATATTTGAGGTTCTCATATCTAGGTTTTCTTTTCAGTTTTTGTTCGTCCAATTTTTTTGTATTTGTATATTCTCGTGTCGTTTCCCACATTTGACCTATGATGTGGTTAGTTTTATCGCGCCTTCTCCCTTAGAGACACTTATGCTTCAAACATTACTCGCGAAATTCAAGTTAATCCCTTATCGCACGCAAGGTCTATTAAGTATCGCGTATCCCAGCGCATTTAACAGCCACTGCAAACGTCAAGTCTCTTTCGGACAAACACGACACGCTCTCAAGTGTAAACTAACAAAAAGACGTTGATAAAAAATACGTTAACAAGGTCAGTACCCAAAACCGACCTCCCGTAATGCGACATTCCTGTTCCATATCAGTTTACGTATTGTATATTTTTGCGTAGATAACGACGATTCATCAATTCTCCTTTTTTAAACATTTACTGATAAGTTTGCAAAGAGCTCAGCGATGAAAGGATGTTTGAAGATAAGGTGTTTAGATTCGCCCGGTAATGGCATTCAATCGCTTCCTTTGAGGTTGACTTTCTTACGTTAATCTTACACTTGTTTTCGCTCCCTTCATGATTCCGGCTCTTGAAAAAAAGGAAACTTTCCCCATGTTTAAGCAGCAAAGTTTCTTGCAAGGTTCAGCCTGAAATCTTTGAATGGCAGACTGTCTGTAAAAGTGAACTCATTTACATTTAAAAAGATAACAATCTTGCGGTCGTGGTCACCTTTCTAATAAAACGGATCCATTTTGCACGCGTATTTTTCTACGCATTTTCTAATCACTTTTTCATAATTTGTTTTTTATTCCCAGTAACATTTCAAGTGCCACACTTTAGTGAAGTATTAAACTTTTGAAATTAACCAAAAGTCTAGACAACAGAATTTAATTTCCTGAGGTCTTCTGGCTATTTTTGCGTAAATTCATCATCTGCTGTAGCAAACGGGCCTACGACGTTTGCTCTAGGATTTATCAATACAGGAACCTATTGTTTTACCACAACACAATGTCATGGTTTGACCAGTGTAGTCATAGAGGTTTTAAGTTTTCAATGTTTTCAGACATTGATAGATACGGAGATTAATCGGACTGTTCGCATGTAATTTTTGTCCAAGGGGAGTAGCGACATCATTGAGGTATCGAATGTCAGTATCATTATGTTTTTCTTGCCCTTTTCGTGCCCTAAGTAACTGCACACTCGGGTTCTCACCTGTAAACACTGAGCTGCGGTATTGAATGCTGATCTAAAACTCAAACATGAAAAAATGAGGCCTGGGGTTCAACAAGATGGATCTTTTACCCGTTTAGTTTCTCTGGCCATATCAAGTTGTGTTTGGTGTTGCACAGTTCTTCTGAATGATCAGCCTTTGGTGCAAGCTCGACATCTCGGCCGATTTAAGCGTGAGTCAATGAATCCCCTCATTAAAGTAATCATTGTTTTTTACTCAAAGTTATGAAATTAACAGGTGCTGTCCTCATTCTGGTAAATTAGAGCTTTTAGCTACGGGCGCTTGCCTGACATCTGTTGTAACTTTATTAGGAAAAAGAGATGCGTAAAGTTGTTGCCAGGGAGTCGGAGTCAGTTTATATTATCCGTATTTACCCGAGCAGAAGCTCAAATTAAATGTTGACAAGGATTTTCTGCTAAGCTAAGAGCATTATATTCTATTAAACAACGTTCATGGGGGCTTCAGAAGAAACGCAAGATATCTGAAGTGTTACCTAAATTACTATTTTTCATATCACTGATATTTACCTAAAATAACCTACTGCAGTTATTTTCGCATCTATTTGAAGTCTTGCTGGGATTGAGACTTTCCATTTGTCATTCTTGTAAATGAGTCTTATTGAGCGTTTTCAATTTTTTTTTGCCGACCGGAAGTTTGGCACAACTTTTAGGTTAGGTTATTAACACAATATCACGGGAAAAGTATATATCACAGTTGTCAAATGTTTAAGATGTCTCCTCAAACTTAATGTCAAGTCCTGGTAAACTTGTGTACAACCGAGTTCAAATTGAGGAATTTAAACCATTAGTAAGGTTGTCTCAGTATCGTGAGAGAAGGTCGCATATGTGTTCGTTATCTTTTAAGCTTATTAAATGAGTAATTCTTGAATTCATGGCGGCATCAAGCACGCCAAGCAACTTTGACTTGCGCTGAATCAAACAAATTAGATTAGCGCAAGTAACACACACATAACAGGTAATATTTCTATAGAAAATCAACGTTTATCGAGTCATTTTGAAGTTATTTGTAGTTTTGAATGCCGTAACGATTATCTATTCAGACATCCAGAGTACTTTAGATATGCAGCCTAATTGTTGCGTATGATGACTTATTTGTTCGTAAACCTGTTCATTAGCTGTTTCAGAATACCGTTTGCTAGTAGCCGTTCAATGTGATGAACACTGTGTTTTTAGCATTTTTTGGTTGAAGTTATCTCTTAAAAAACTTCATGAGAAATCAGTTTACTTTTTCTTAGAATTATGCAAGCCATATGTTCTGTATGTCGTGAAGCGGGAGACAGTTGGGTCGACTTGGTAGAGGCCTGGTCACGGTTCATGCGACTGTATTCCTTCAGTTGCAATCCGTTTCAATCTTCTCCGTTGTTTTTTCTTGGGTTGTTTTCGCCTCTTTTGTGTTTTGCTATCATACTGAACTAATATTTTGAAGTAATTAGGATATATCAACAAAGTTGAAATGGTAAATTGGCCACCGTAACGATTACAAAAGCTGACGTTTCGAGCGTTAGCCCTTCGTCGGAGCGTCAGCCCTTTCGTTCCGACGAAGGGCTAACGCTCGAAACGTCAGCTTTTGTAATCGTTACGGAGGCCAATTTACCATTTCAACTTTGTTGATATATCCAAATTATTTCATTATCCCCACTGACGCAGCCCATAACAGTTTCTTTATTCATTTAATATTTTGAGTTGAGGGTAGTTTAGCAATACGTTTTTAAAATCAGTTCGTTTGTATTTATGTTTGTTTCTGATCTTTTCTTTGAAGATATGGTTTACACACAAGCCCTAAAAACGAATCAAACAATAATTCAAAAGAGCATCGTTTTATCATCTCTTTGACTTTTATTTAAACTGTAGCCAATTACATAGAGACAACACAGTTTGAATCACTAGTGTCTATCATTAACAGTAGGAATAATGAATGTGTCATAGTCTGAATACCCACCTCAATAACGTTCAGATGGAATTTACAAAAAATGCACCTTTATATGTTACCGTTCTTCCCCAACTTGATCTGCTTAGTAAACCGATTAAATCAAATCTGAGGGAGCATGTACCAGCCTTAGCTTCCTGTGGGAAGATTTGGATAATAAGGTATCCTCGCGTAGAGCCTTGAGCTAAAATAATTTCCGTGAGACATGCACAGAAAGCTTAGCTTATAATCCACGGGAATCATTTGTTCATAAACGGATCGAATCTTGAAGATGTGCAACATGAATTCTGCTCAACTAGGCTTTTTTAGTTCTGGAAACATTTTTTCTGGCTTGAATTCAAAAGGGTTGACTTTTTATGGTTAACATCTTTTTGGACTCTTGGTTAAGTCAATAAGGAACCGTGCAAACTTACACTTTCTGGGTGTAACGCTTTGATCCAATAGTAGGTTAATCCCACTTTGAACGAACACACCCGAGCAAAATCCTGCATGGTAAATACGCCGGTGTAATTTCAAAGAATCGCAGAATAATGGTGTAGTTTCGTTAGAGCTCCGTTAGTGTCTTAAAACGGTCGATAACTAAAGTAACCAGCGAAGAGGTAAAGGAACTGAAAGGTTTTCTTCCTTAGTGACTGTAGAAGCGTGCTCTGAGGTAATGATGACGGTTCCTTTTTGTCCTTCTCTGCATTCCTGCGGTAAAGATGGATAGGCACTCTGTCGAGTGGAGAGATTTCCTAGGACAGACAGTTTGTCTATTTTTTAATGAAAAAAATTAAGTGATGTCAAGTCAAAGGTGAAATCACAGGAGTTTCGTTTTGTCACATCTTTCCGTCCGGCCAGAAAAGGCTTAATTAAAATCTTTTGTTTTTTTGTTTATCTTTGTTGGCGGGTTAAAGGAACATGTAAATTATGCTAAACATCTAAGGACTGACGAAAAATGGCCTGTTCACGGTTGTCCCATCCATCCACTTGCCAAACAAACTGATCTGGAGTAGATGACAAAGTGAAGGACTTAAAAAGCAAATTATAAGGATCATCGTAGAGGAATAACGATTTAAACTTCGCCCTTCACTGAAGACATGGTCCTTTCGTCAACACTTTTTAAACAAAGAAAATTAAGTCTTTTCGTGATTTATCTCAGAATAAATAAACCATAGCGAGGAAACAGTTACCAGAACTTGTCAACACCTTTCAAGACGAGGGCATCTAGATTTTCGTTTTAAAATCCTTTCGAGTATTCTGGAGAGAAAGTAAAGGAGACTGAAGCCACTCAGGATTTAAGTCCACTCAGGATTTGAAGCCACCATGGAAAATCTTATAAAACCAACTAGTTTCAACCATATTACGTTTGGCTAATAATAACACGTGATTAGTTTACCGCCTCCCAGTTAGCTCAATGGATAGAGCGCTGGACTGTTGTGCGGGAGGTCGAGGGTTCGAGGCCCGGCCGGACCAACACTCAAGGTCTTAAGATAATTGAGAAGAATATGCAACCTTTCTATAACGTCAAGAAATGGTTAGGTATTCTAGTCTTCTCGGATAGGGACGAATAAATGGAGGTCCCGTCTCCTGCAGGGTTGGGGTAGGAGACGTTAATTTCCCACGCACGAGATTACTGTGTGATGGATGCCCTTCCCCGGGGTGGGATGGGTGGGTTGGGTTTAGGTGGATGAACCTAGTAGGGGACTACGTGTCGTATTGTTCACCCACCTGTGCAATGTACAAATCTTTAGAAACAGCACTGTCTAGCATACACCAACTTTAGCCCACTAATGACTTCAACTTCAGTCATCAATGACAAAAACTGTCAGTAAACTTATTGCTCTCCCCACATCTTTTCTATCACCATTGACTGTAAAAATACTTTTAGATTGGACTGCAATGGCTCTCCGTAGCTTCTGCAAACAGCCGGTTTCTACCAACAGCGACCAACTACTACAAAGCGAATGAGTCATTGAGAGCTCTCGACAGCTTCTGCTAGCAGCAGTCGGTCTCTACCAACAAAATCTAGCTATCACCAAGCGAATGAGTCTTTGAAAACTTTCATAACGTATCGAAAACGTTCTAAAAACTTGAAAAATATATTTCCGAGTTAAAGTACATTTTCATGAAATAACCTAATGAAATGTTTTGTGCCAAGAAAGGATAAAGAGCTCATTTTGCCCTCTCTTCTTTAGACAGTTCTAAAGAAAAATCCAAAATCCACATTGTGCCTCTAAGCTTTCAAGAAATTTCCCTATATTCTGTTACTCTCCACAAAATAACTGATAGTACAGTCCTTTAAATTAGTGTGCTCCAATAGACCGCCTTAGAGATAAATGAAAATACACGCAATTGCTTGCCCACATGAGTTCGGGAGGTCTCTTTGGCCTTTCGTAAAGATGCCAGCTCGCCAAAAGCTACTTCCGGTATTTCAATAAGCTCCTTAATTCTGGGTGGAGATCTGAAGAGGGTCACTGTTTCACCCAATCAGGGTGACGTTACGATGTTTTTTAGGCAATGCGTAGAGTAGTTAGTTGTAGCGTTGCTGTTAGCTGTAGAGAGGAAAGGAGGATCGTTGTCAATAGTGAAAAATAAACGGACTGCAAATGATGCTGTCAATAAAACCCACACTGATTCATTTCAATGTATTGCAGGTTATCCCGTCAACAGCCTCAAAGACGTGGACTTACTCGGGACAATAGGAAACCCACTTCCGATTGGCGTATCGCTCACGAGAGGACCTTACACGAAACCAGCATTTCACTTTCGGTCTGGAGCGAATGTTGGACGTTTCGCTCGCTTCATTTTCCCAAAAGGATTTTTGAAAGAATTCTCAATCAGTACTGTAATTCGCCCAAGGTCTTCTGACCGTGGGGTAGTATTTGCACTTTTGCCGCATATTCGCAGAGGAAATGTAATTTTGGGACTTGAGATTCACAGAGACTCCTTTTCTGAAGGAACGACAATAAGTTTGATTCATGCAAACAACGGAAATACGAGAACCGTTTTTGAGTTTACTGTCCCAGATCTGACTGGTAGATGGACTTGGCTCTCTTTTAGTATTAAAAATAATGGCGTAACGTTTTTCAAAGACTGTAGAGAGGTTGACACTTCGTTTGTACGTGCGACTCTGGGTGTCCTCACCTTTCCACGGTACAGTGCTTTGTATATTGGCAGAGCTGGATGGACTCCGGGGGCATCGTCAAGTGCTTTCCAGGTAAGTATGCCGTGCCCGGACTGGCAACAAAATGTTGGTTCTGTACTAGGCCTGGGAGAGTTCGTTATTTTACCACAGAGTGCGCATGAGTACGTCGGACACGTTACCTAAGCTTTCTAACCTTCAGACAACAGAAACTGACGAAGCACCAATTTCTGCATGAAAAAAAATTGCTTTTGACTTTCGTAGGAGAAAACCATGTTGGCGCATTTTCTTACTTTGTAACCTTTAAACCCCTAAGTGTGACTAACATCTAGTTCGTCCTCATAATGTCATTCCTAAATCATACATGAAGGTCCCGGATGATCACCAAGTCGTAATTGTCAAACACATTTTTCCTTTGTAAAGAATAAAAAAGATTCTTTACAAAAAGATGACGCTATCGACATAGCCGATCCTTGCGGTACACAGGACTCGTGTGAAATATGGAGTTCGTAATGGACCTTGCTCACTATGCATAGAGTCTCTGTGGCTCAGTGGTAGAGCATCGGAGCGCGAAGGCTCGATACCTCATGGGGACTCAAAATCTTTTCATTGTCCCACCCTCATCTGTCATTTATGCGTCTATCCTCTAATAGATCGCAAGCAAGAACCAATCAAAGTGCGTTTATTCATTGTCTTAAATAATCAATCAATCAATTAATCAAAACTTTATTTACCCACGTAGCGTCAAGGAGCTCGTAGAGCTCCTTCAAAATACGAACGTGCCTCCAAGATTAAGACCCAACCTTGTGATTAGATGAAAAACATCTTTCTAAATTTTTCCTTTTTGGAAAATCCTTTATGGAGAATGTGCATACCGATGTTAAAATATATAGGGTTAAAGATAATTTTTCTTACGTCTTCAGGGAGATATAGCAGAACTGTCCATGCACAGTGACCCCAACAAGGCCCAGCATCAGGAGTGCAAGGCAGGTAACCTTCAGGTCGTATCAGTTTGGAGTTCTTGGAATAAGTCAGAATCGGGCATTTCGATATTTGTTCTGACAGTAATTGCAGAAGCATCGATATAATTAGTAATGGTCGTTGCTTGTCTAAATGCGCAAATTCAAAGACCATAACGTGGCAAACATGTGGTTAACTGATGGATTCCATGTTGCCATGCGGTTGTTCAGTAGTAGATCCCTGGTGAGAACAAAATGTGGTGAGAACAATAAAGTGGCACACGAGGAGCAGCCGAGCGTGTCACTGATGTTCTTACCTCATTTTGATATCATCTGTCATTTAATAAGAGTCTTTATTCATTCATTCATTCATTCATTCATTCATTCATTCATTCATGTAGTCACAGCATACGTGTGACTTTACAAACAATTCATTTAAGATCAAGTACAATTAAGTAAAATTAAAAAGACACCTATTAATAAAGGATCTCTTAAAGCGTTCTGTTTTAACAGCAGGTAAAATAAAATCATGTCCTCTGTTTCGCAAAAATCTCTGTTTCTCAGGAGGTAATAGTTCATAAGGGGGTGGGAAGGAGTATCTGTGATAATTTTCCATAGCTTACTGTCTCGGTTTCTTATAACCTCAGCTATTACAGACAGGTTGTTGGTGTAACCAAACCAAAACGCTCGCTTAAAAAACCCGTCAATGCGATCAAGGTATTTACCTTGATACGCCGCTCCCCGAATCTCAATTCCATATAAAAACAGGGACATAATTAACAGATCGAATAATTTAGTCACTTGCTCTTTAGGATATCTAAAATATTTACAAACACGTAGAATACATAAACGACTACTAGCTTTTCGTAGCAAATTGTCAACATGAAGGTCCCAGTTCGATGGATTTTCCTGGAAATTTATGCTAAGCAATTTCAACCAGCTTTTCTGTTCAATTCCCTGTACCAGAGGTGGCAGTGGTTTGGAAATTCTACCATGCACCACTATTTCCCAGGTCTTAGTGAGATTTAATTTGGATATATCAACAAAGTTGAAATGGTAAATTGGCCACCGTAATGATTACAAAAGCTGACGTTTCGAGCGTTAGCCCTTCGTCGGAGCGAATAGAGGAATTGTGGGTTGCGTGGGCTTTTAAAGGCAGAAAATGGAGCTACGTTATTGGTGGGTGCATGGCAACGAGAAAAACATGAATAAATTAGTGGAATGAAAAGCGTTCATTGATCCCTGTGGGATTTAGACTGCCGGTTTGAAAGATGAGCTTTTGTTCAAGATTTTTACGGCTTTCCGTGCCACCTAAGTGCAAGGAAAGACCGCAGATTGCCATATGTTGCTTAGAATGATTAGGTAAATTAAAATGTCTAGCGACTGGTTTCGATGTGTCCTTGTCATTCCTTTCCACGTCTCGAAGGTGTTCTCGGAATCGGTCACCTAGTCTTCTGCCTGTTTCGCCGATGTATATCTTTTTGCAATAAGTGCAAGTTATGCAATAGATTACATTGGCGGAGGTGCACGTGAAGTGATCGGTGATCTTAATGGATCGTTTAGGTCCCGATATTTTATCAGTGTTGTGAATGAAAGGACACGTTTTGCATCGTGCACGAGCGCATTTAAAAGTGCCTGGTTGGTCATTAGTCTGAAAAGAACTTCTGACCAAAAAATTGCCTATGTTTTTGTCGCGTTTGAATGAAATGAGCGGAGGCTGCGAAAAGATAGTGCTTGTCTCTGGATCGTTTTGAAGTAATTTAAAGTTTTTAAGAATGATGGATTTAACTGAGTGGTTGTGAGGGTGAAACGTGAGAGTGAATGGAATGCGGTCGGAATCTTCCTTATGCGACGTTTGTAGTGCTGAATGTCGATCAATAAGTTGNCAACTTATTGATCGACATTCAGCACTACAAACGTCGCATAAGGAAGATTCCGACCGCATTCCATTCACTCTCACGTTTCACCCTCACAACCACTCAGTTAAATCCATCATTCTTAAAAACTTTAAATTACTTCAAAACGATCCAGAGACAAGCACTATCTTTTCGCAGCCTCCGCTCATTTCATTCAAACGCGACAAAAACATAGGCAATTTTTTGGTCAGAAGTTCTTTTCAGACTAATGACCAACCAGGCACTTTTAAATGCGCTCGTGCACGATGCAAAACGTGTCCTTTCATTCACAACACTGATAAAATATCGGGACCTAAACGATCCATTAAGATCACCGATCACTTCACGTGCACCTCCGCCAATGTAATCTATTGCATAACTTGCACTTATTGCAAAAAGATATACATCGGCGAAACAGGCAGAAGACTAGGTGACCGATTCCGAGAACACCTTCGAGACGTGGAAAGGAATGACAAGGACACATCGAAACCAGTCGCTAGACATTTTAATTTACCTAATCATTCTAAGCAACATATGGCAATCTGCGGTCTTTCCTTGCACTTAGGTGGCACGGAAAGCCGTAAAAATCTTGAACAAAAGCTCATCTTTCAAACCGGCAGTCTAAATCCCACAGGGATCAATGAACGCTTTTCATTCCACTAATTTATTCATGTTTTTCTCGTTGCCATGCACCCACCAATAACGTAGCTCCATTTTCTGCCTTTAAAAGCACACACAACCCACAATTCCTCTATTCGCTCCGACGAAGGGCTAACGCTCGAAACGTCAGCTTTTGTAATCATTACGGTGGCCAATTTACCATTTCAACTTTGTTGATATATCCAAATTATTTCGTTACTCCCACCGACGCAGCCCCAAACAGTTTCTTTCGAAACTGTCAGCCCTTAGTGAGATTTAGTTTCATACCGTTTCTTACCGTTTCTTTATGTGTCTATCCTCTAATAGATCACAAGCAAGAACCAATCAAAGTGCGTTTATTCATTATTTTAAATAATCAATCAATCAATATTTTATTTACCCACGTAGCGTAAAGGAGCTCGTAGAGCTCGTTTAAAATACGTACGTGCCTCAAAGATTAAGAATCTAAAAAACCTAATACATACTGCCAAGACCTAATAGATTAGAAATTGCAATAACTTAAAATTAACATTAAAATTTAAGTTTGTACAATAAAATTCGGAGTCACTTAAATACAGGTATAAAATGGTGAAGCAATAACTTAACTTAAAATTAACAATAAAATTAAGTTTGTACAATGAAGTTCAGAGTCACTTAAATACAGATTTAAAATACAGGTATTTTAAAAAAGTACTCTCATCATGTTTTTTATCTGAAGTTCAGTCCAGTGAAAATGGAAACGTGACTTTGACATTCGCATCTACTTTGTCTTTAAGATACTGACAACAACAGGACCTCCGGTGTTCTCTACAACAGTAGCAGAGCCTTTACAAGCACATCAACAAGCACCATCCTTGAGGTCCAATAAAAGTCTTCCAAAGGTATCAACGAACAGTTTTAAGAAAAATACAACCCCTACTGAAGCAAGCATTGTCGACCATTTCTCGACCACGAAACGTCCGGCTTTACGGAAAGCTACTGGAGGCAATGATCAGACGACCGGTGGCGGAGGGGAAGCAACACGAGCGGTAACCTCTGTGGACGGCTTCCCCACCACAGAACGACCAACTTTGAGAGATGTTGCTAAGGGTAGTGCTCTAATAACCACTAGGGGAGAGGAAGCAACGGAAGAGGTGAACACAGTCGGACTTGTCCATTTTACGGAACGAACAACGTTACGGAAAGCCACTGAAGGAAGTGATCAGACAACCAAAATTTTACCTCAGGACACTGACACTACATCAAATAGTAGAACAGAGCTTCTGACGCAAAGCACATCAAAGACAACTTTCTCGACTACTGATGAAGTAACAACAGAAACCGAGCAAGAGGAGGATACTACCACAAGCACAGAACCAGCCACTGTGTCTGTATCTTCTTCCGATTCTCTTATGACTACTCAGGAAGACAGTGGCGCTGATATGAAAGTGGAATCGACAACAGGAACACAGCTCCTCGTAACAAAGACAACTGTTCCTGCCACATCCTTGCCAAAAGGTACCAATGGTGCAGCCACTGAGGCGAGCATCGATAGTGTTAAGTACAAGTCAACTAGATCAACAGAGAGCTCTTCAACCATTTCTTCTCCTTCAAAGAGCACAACTGAACCTCCTGTTACGCATGAAGAAATTGACTTTGACGAAGAAATTGTGATTGCAAGGATTGAAGGGGAGACGGACAACTCCACTCAAGGTTCTTCATAAAATGTTTTGCTGTCCACATCTCCTAGAGTAACTAAGAGGCCCATCGTGAGTACTGAAGCATCCACAGTTAAACCTCATTCTGCGTCTACAGTTTCTAAAACATCTGAGGTGAGAAAACATTATGTATTAATGCTAGGGAGATTTACCATATTGCAAGCAAACAAACTTACGTTTGGTTTGAAGGTTTGTTTTTGATAAATCGCATGCATTGAGACTGTTTCTAAGAGTGGAAACTCGGTTAGGGCACCCTTGTTCTCTCCTATCTCTAATTCGATAACTCAAGGGCTGCGGACATATCTGCTTTCCCCACTTCTGTACAGGTGCTTTGTAAACACGTCGTTGCGGCAGGGTCAAACGGGACTTGCGTACGTGGACCCCGCGGGCCGCCGGGATTGCTGGGACCGAAAGGAGATAAAGGAGACTCGATTGTAGGCCCGCAGGGACCGAGAGGAAGACTGGGATACCCAGGGCGAGACGGAAGTAAGCGACTAACTAATTATTTAGTTTTATTGAAATATTGCAAGAAATAAACAACTTTCTTGAGAAGCATGCCGAAACATGTCTCTCAAAAAAGTTGTCTATTTCTTGCAATATTTATCATACTTGCTACTACTACGACTTTATTGAAATAGTTGCAATGCCGCAAGCTTGCACAGATATCTTTCTGGCCATGTTATTCCGGAAAATCTGAACTAAAGTCGCTTCTCTCGACGTGCTTTTAGTCCCCTTCCCTCAATGACATGTTTCCCTTGACATCTGAAAACTAAGCTCCTTCCCTCAGCTTCGATTCATTTCCATGTAGTTGTTTGGTTTTCATTGCGAATGTCTCGAGCTTCACATATCTGAACCGCTTTTTCTGGTTCCCATGAGCGTTGAGAGTGGGTCCGCCATAAGAGGGAAAATTTTTCATGACTGCCCCAGTGTCGTTACGGATGAGTTTTTTAATATTTTTCTTGACAGTGAAAGGAAAGAAAGGTGAACGTGGGGAAATGGGACCAAGAGGTACTCGAGGTCGAACGGGGAGACCTGGACCCGCACTATTCTTTGATGCTAGCGAAAGTGTGATCACTGTCAAGGGAGAAAAGGTAAGGGTCGGAATCATGAACGATACAGTCCAAACGTTTGGAGATAATTTCGATTTGTCGTCACATTACTCCTCACGAGCAATAGGATGTGCAAATCTTCTCACTGCGTGATCTTTTTCTAGGGAGACCCGGGACCGGAGTATACCTTTGTAAAGGAAATAAACTGCGAAAAGGTAATGGTTTTTTCCTGTAAGTGATTCCACCTCACTGTTTTTTCCTGCATAAGACCCTGTGATAGATTTTGTGGTCTTCCTTGTCGCGTTGTTTAACGTTTGTATAGTGAAATCGAGTTACGTATTGCCGTCTCAGGTAGGAAGAAAAATGATACCCCATTCAAACTTTCCCCATACCTGGGCCGCCCATACATTATTTCTATTGTATGATCACGAACGTTAAACCATGTTCACGGCCATTATTCGTCTTAAAATAACTCGGTAGTAGGTATCCAACTTGAATTGATGCTCCGCAAATGAAAATGTCTTTCTTTTTCAAATGTTTCTCGTTGAAAAGTTTCCACGGTACTTTTTTTACAGGATAAATGTGGCCTATACATCCAAGGTCCAAAGGGAGAACCCGGGAAAAACGGTAACCGGGGTACCCCAGGAACTGTGGGGTTGCCCGGTCCGCCGGGAACCCCTGGAAAACCTGGAGTAATACTTGATCCAGTGACAGGATTGGTGAGTTCCGCAAAAAACTCTGCAAACGTAGAAATCTCTCCCATAAGCGCTGTCGGTAGCGCATTGCTTAAATTCCGCGCAGGGGACTTAGACTATCTCTTACACTCAGTACAGAAATAGAACGACATCTGTTTGATTAGGTTGTTCAATTCTTTGTTACTATTTCAAATAAGGGAGAAAGCCAGATGAAAGGAAGATTGTGTAGGATGGGAGGGGATGAAGTTGGGTCCTTTACTTGAACACGCACAAACCACTGCTTATCTCCTTTAAACAACCACTCCATACATTCTAACTTTACTTTGGATGATATTCGGTCAACTATTAGATAAACAAGCCTGATGTTATAGTAAAGCTGTCTTATTTATTGTTGGGCCATCAAAAAAGACACAACATGCAAAGGAGGCAATTAAAAGCTTAATTAAGGACTTACTAGACATGCAATACGGCGTAACGGTGGCTTTTTTAACCGTTTGTGTTGTAGCCTGTTGATCCCCCAAAGGGTGAAAAAGGTTACCCAGGAATGGATGGGATGGACGGACGGAAGGTATTTTAATAAGTCTGGTTACAAAGAGTTTTAGATCAATTCAAGTTCTTGTTTTAACAATTTGTATTTACTTATGCTTACAGACAAAAGTATAGTTACCAGTGTGTGCCACGTCCTCGTGCTTTGTCAATTAAACCTTGAATTAGTTAGTTTATGAAATATCTTGTAAATATCTACATTTTATGTTTTCAGGATTTTAAAAGCTCAGTTATTTATGGAACGTTTCATTCACGCTTTTCACCTAAATTTTTCCGATTTAATCCGCTCGTTTAATTGACAAATTTAATTTGATTCGTCGTTTTATTCAGGGGGAGCCCGGAGAGAGAGGAGAGCGAGGAGTAATTGGTCCTCCTGGACCAAAGGTAAATTTAACAATTGGAGTATGACGTAGAAGCGTACGTCCGTCGAAATAAGAAGTATAGAGATCACAAAGAATGCGGAAGAGTTACTCGAGGTGTGATCGAGTGCAACTCTACCTTCTTGGATATAGTTTGTTTAGATATACAAGCTTTTATGAGCGTTTCGGAATCAGGTGTCAGCTTGAATAAAACCAATTTACAGGAGAATATTTTAATTATTTTTTAGGGCAAAAGAGGGGCTAATGGAATGACGGGTTTTCCCGGGATGACTGGGGCACCAGGAGCCATGGGACTGCCAGGCATGGTAAGTTTTTCTGCTAATAAAAACGGAACGTGTTTATCATGGTCGTGCTGTAACAGCGCCCAAGCACAGCTTCTAGTTGTCTTTTGGCGAATTGAGTATCTTTGCCCTCATGTGAGCGTTCGAGAGCTGGGCATCTCGTATTTCTGAGACAAAGGCCAAAATGGACTTTAAGCTTAGTCAATTCATATGGAAATAAATATTTATGATTCAAACTTTCTGTGCGAACTTGCATCAACGTGTAGGGTATGCCAGGGCCGCGAGGTACCCCGGGACAAGATGGTGCAAAAGGAAAACAAGGCGATAAGGTAATCGTGTTTCCAACTTTAGTTTTCTTTTAGGAAGTAAAGCGATTTGCTTTGTTGTTGCATTCGACTAAATATTCCTAACATAAATAAAATAAAAAATTGTATCTTGTATCTGTAACACTCAGGGTCAAATGGGCGATCGAGGTATTCAGGGTCCAAAAGGAATGGATGGCCCAATGGTAAGTCACAGGTGGTTATTAATTAATCTTATCACCATGAAGTTTTTTTAATATTTCCTTCGGATCTTAAAGGGTATATCGATTTAACCGAAGAAAGCCTTAAGACAAATGTCCGAGTTTTTTGGGGCCAAATGGAGGTTTTTGTTTATATATCTGATATGTTATCTGATTACAGGGAGATGATGGACTTCCGGGGCCCCCCGGACCGAAGGTAGGTGACATCAATACATGAAAGAACTTACGAGCTAACTAACCAACAAACTAACGACCTAACAAACTAACGAACAAAGAAACTAACGAGCCAAAAAAACTACAAGTGAGGTAGTTCAAACAAAAAATCAACCATTGCTACTGACACGCACGTAAGTATTCTTCATCAGTTTAGCGTTTCATTAACTTGCAGGGCTCTAAAGGAAACAGTATTATAGGCCCACCAGGTCCACCAGGACCCCCGGGGCCCAAAGGGGACGCGTCCATGATGGAGGTGGTTCTTAGACCCGAGAAAGGGGAACAAGGACTTCCGGGTCCACCGGGACCTCCAGGGAAATCAGGTACAATCGGGGGCGTTGAAGGAGAACCTGGAGCAAAGGGCGAAAGAGGTGCTGATGGAAAGAATGGAACTAAAGGACAAAAAGGAGATGCTGGAGGCTCCCCCGGACGTCAAGGTACACGAGCCGATCGGGACCCAATTTTGAACTCATGTTTTCACCTTGCTATATTTTGAGCAAATACTTGAAGCTTTTGGTAAACGTCACGGTATCATTTAGGTTTGATAATTGATTCGTTAATGTCACTATTGCCTTAGTTTCTTCTCTTTCTATTTCTTATAGTAGGTGAACCTATTAACTGAGTCACAATAGTCTGCGACGGTTTCTGTGCGTTTCACAGAGCAAAACCAATTTACACTTTTTTCTTGGATTCCGGAGTCATATATCAATATTGTGCGTGCGCTACAACTAAGCGAATACCTGCCAGTGTAGTCTTTTCTTTTCTCTAAATCTTTACTTTTTCTCTATCTTCAGGTGCTAAAGGTGAAAAAGGCGATAGTGGAGATTCTTGTAATTGTAACTTTACCAAAGGAGACATCGGACCTGTGGGTCCTAAGGGATCGCCCGGTCCTCCCGGGTTGCCTGGCAACAATGGAACGAGTGAAAGAGGGGAGAAAGGAGACAAGGGGGAACCTGGACTTAAAGGAGAAAAGGTCCGACTTTAATTTATCTATCCTTTTATTTTCATTATTTCTCGTTGATAATTAACATTTTGGTCTTCTCAAAAAGAAAAACTAACTCGTCCACAAGAACACAAAGAAAAACACATTTTTAAGGTTATCGCAGGAGTTCTGCACTTCCAAGTGGCTTACCGTGATTGAATGTTTTGTTGTTCTAACGTCATCATGAGAGTTTTTTTCAGTTCCGTTTTTTTTCTCTTTTTGCCTTTAGGGTAAACGTGGGTCTTTAGGCTTTCCTGGACTTAGAGGGAAAAAAGGATCAGAGGTCTGTATATAAATTCATTACCTGGAATGAACAACGTTGGAATGTTCCCGTTGTTACGTTTACTTAACCTTTTCCTTTTCCCAGGGAGAAGTGGGACCGCAAGGACCTGTGGGAGAGCTAGGAGAGCGAGGTCAGAAGGGGGAACAGGTAAATGAGCCCGATTGCAACAAGTAGAAGACAAATGTTAGGTCTTGATTTGTGTAAATGATTGAGCTATGGACATGTAACTTATAGAGTTGCAAATGTCTGCGTCGAAACGTTTGCACAGATATTTGGCATTGTTTTACTTACTTCCTTACGCGAGTTTAGTCTGCGATTTGTCAGAGCAATCAGACGATTGAAATGAGAAGAAGTCTTACCTTTCTTGCAATCAAACTTAAAATTAAAATTGACTCTGTTTTTAGCGTAGACCTTGTTCCCAGGGTTTTCAAATGCTAAAGAGAGGGTCAGGAATAAGAGCGGGAATGAGATTTGGACCAATCCATCTTTTCATAACCTACGACTGGTTTGTTTTCCCTCTCCACAGGGATCCCAAGGAGGAAACGGTTCGAAAGGAGAAAAGGTGAGCCCGTTCGTTCAGTTATTAAACCTCGGTGCAAAGGGATTTCCCTGATAAGTATGAATGGAGATCCTCGGAAATATCTAAATTTCACACCATCCGCTAATCCGATTTCTTTTCAAAAATTTATGTCGGTAAGCTGAGGTACACAGTTTTAAGAAGACTGTCCCTGGTTGCCCAAGAAAAGTTCACTTAAACTGAATTTGAGGAAAATATTTTTGTTGGAGTCTCGTGTTTGTTTTATTTTCATTTGTTTTGTCCTCTGTCTTTCCTAGGGTGACCGTGGCGTTGGACTCAAAGGTGAAGCAGGTGAGCCTGGGGAGACTGGTCCTCAAGGCCCGCCAGGACCTCCCGGTCCAATCGTCCCATCAGCCACCGAAAAGGTAAATATGACTGCAAGAGCGTTAGCTTCGATCTTAAATCTTCTTTCCAAAAAAGAGCGCCCTGTATGTTATGGGTCATCTGATGCGTAAAGCTTGATTGTTCATACAGGGAAGCAAGGGAGAGGAAGGAAAAAACGGCACACAAGGAGAACGAGGACCGCAGGTAGCATTGGACATAAATCTGTTCAAAATTTAACAATTTATTGAGACCTTATCACACTAGAAAAATGTATTTCTCACATTTTGACGTGTAGATTTGTTATGTTTTGTTTGTTTTTTATTTCGCAGGGCGAAAAAGGCAAGCAAGGCGGTATCGGTTTCCCTGGAAGAAAGGTGGGTTACAAATAATATATTCTTCATCGCGATATCTTGTATCTTTCCACTGAATGACAAGCCAAGCATTATATCCTAGGGTGCCACAGGAAGACCAGGCCCGATTGGATTTCCTGGCAGGAAAGGTGAACCAGGCGCTCGAGGCTCTATTGGTGAGGTGAGTAACCTTGATAGATCTGGAAAACTTTGGTCAGTTTTTCCGTGATTTCATCATTATTATCATTTCATTAGCCTGATGGCCTCTTCGATCAGTCTCCACAACAAAATGTTACTCTTCAGTTCGTACCAATATCCTGCATCAATCCCCTTTATTGAACAACACTCATCCGCCAATTCCTTGATTCCTACCTTTTCTCTTTGATGATAAAAAAGACATTCATCTATTTTCTCTCTCACCTAATAGGGAGTGCCCGGAGCCGAAGGTCCCGCGGGACAAAAGGGTGAGACGGGATCCAAAGGAGACCAGGTTTGAGTTCTGTCTGTATGATTTTTAAGACATGATATTTCTTATTTTACATTGGTTACTTGAGCCAAGTGATCATTTTAGTGTCTTTGTTTGTTGCTCAGTTATGAGCAACAAACAGAGCGAAAAAAGAAACATAGTTTAGTTTTGCATTTGATTGGTTGAGACTGACGATAAAAATTTTGAACCAATAAGAAAACGAGGAAAGAAAAGAATCAATCCAATCCAGATTGATTTCGAAACTCTAGAGAGTGGCTTTGTGAGGGAGACAAACAAAACTTGAGCTTTCGTTAGAATAAATTTACATGTTATATTTTGGCCAGCTGGTGGGGACTTAATGACTTTGTTCTCATTCATTTTTTCAAAGGGAAAACGTGGAACCATTGGATTTCCAGGTTCGAAAGGCTTAAAAGGCACTAAGGTATCACCACATCCTCACGAGTAGACCCTCACCGGAGGAACTGCATAAATTATGATGGATGGCATTGATTCTTAGGATAACTACATTATAGTGATACTAATGAAGTTATTGAATGCCTTTCCAGGGTGATGCGGGGAGAAATGGAACTGATGGGCAGAAGGTAAGTTCATGGGGTCAGTAAGTCAATCAGTTAGTAAGCCATAAATTCATTCCTTCATTCATTCATTCATTCATGCTTTCATTATTTCTGCACTTAATCGAAAAGCAAAGCCTCGTAATATCATGAGCATTATACTGCTTCAATTTTTCTTTCTGAGTACAGTTTATTTGAGACCCCACAAATAGATAGCGACATCAAGTAAAAAAATTGGAAACCGATCTATTACCCACTTGTTTTTCGTTGTTATTTGCCTCAATATGTTGACTTTTTTTCTCAGGGAGAGCCTGGTGAAAGCATCCAAGGACCATCTGGGCCTCCCGGGCCTCCGGGGCCCCCTGGTGTAATAATGGTAAGTATATTAAACTTGTAACCACTGTTTGTCATTTTTAACGTTATCTTTGTCTCTTTTTTTTTGTATTTCCTTCCTGTGTGAAACTGGATATAAATAGTACATGCCACATTGGTGTGTGTGTGTTTTTTTTTTAACTTAAGGAGTCGAGCAGTGGAGGAGAATCATCAGCTCAGATTACAGCGCAAAAGGGCGACAAGGTGAACAGAAATGTTCAGCGGTAATTGATAAGAGTGAATAGGTTTGCACATCAGCGGAGTTGGATTTAAAAAAAAAAACTGAACAATGCGAACTTTTGAAGAAAATAAGGCAGATTCGAAAAAATCTGTGGATCATGATTGGCCCAAAAAGATGTTTCTAGACTTACAGACTCTGACGATTTGGATTTACAGGCCGTAACGCTTTCAAGGATTTGTGTACGTCCTATCCACTCCCCTCGTTGGTAGATATGAAATAGATTGGTGTTTTTTATTTTGATGATTCAAGACTGAAAAAAGGTGTTATCTTTTTAGGGGGATATTGGCAGGATTGGGTTTCCTGGCAAGAAAGGGGAAAAGGTAAGAAGAATATGCTTTAGAAACATCCACTTCAGATTAATATCACAGCTGAAGAAGAAAAATAAATTCATCCATTTTTATCTGTATTTTCCTCTTTTCGTGGCCTATCTAATTTATATAAAGCTCCTAATGTTCTTTTCTTTCTTTTTTTTTTTCGTGTTCAGGGAAGTTCCGGGGAACAAGGTGTCAAAGGAGAGAAAGGGGAAGTGGGACAGGACGGAAAAACCGGAGGATTGGGATTCCCAGGGAGAAAAGGGGACCCGGGGGAAAAGGTAGATTTAGAAGAATTGTAAAGGTAAATCGCTTCATTGAGGGATTGGTATAACTCTTGTATTTTTTTTTTTCTTCTTGAAGGGAAAGCGTGGATTTAATGGAACAACGGGACCTCAGGTATGAAGGTTTTGAAAGTAAACATGAATCTTAAGATAACAAACCAATTGCTTGTAGAAATCATGGACTTGGTTAAATTCCTCTTTATCCTCTTTATTATTAGGAAAAGCTTTATCATTTGGACTAATATCAGAATCTAGGCAAGTGCGTTCCTACCCCTCCCTCTCCTAACCCAGCATAACCCTACCTTGTTATTAGTTAACTGTTGTTGGGTTAAGGGAGGGGTGGGTGCGCAGTTGCTCAGCTACTGAGAGAGATCCTTTATTTTTCAACTTCCCTTCGTTTCGTTGCCTTGGAGTGTTTTAATTTCTTTATAACGTCAAAACACTGCTTCAGAAATACAAGCGCCTTAAGACTTAATTTCTTGTTCCTTTTGATCATTAAGACCATTCCTGATAACGTTTTTGTTTATTCCTTCACAGGGCATTACGGGTCCGCCCGGTAATCCAGGGGAAATGGGACGACAGGGGCCGATTGGTTTCCCTGGACGTAAAGGAAACACGGGTACTCCAGGACCCCCCGGGCCCCCGGGACCTCCAGGAACCCCTGGAGACAAGGTAATGGTACTTGTTTAGTATGTTTGTTTCTGTAACGTTACAAGAGATAGATAAAAAGGTGATATTTCGTTGTTTTAATCAGTCTGTTTGTCGGGCATCTCATCTAAAAGTCCACATGTAAAATCTAACTTATTAACCGGACTCTACCCGGATCCTCAGAGGTTTCTGTTTGGTTGTTTCTCTGCTGTTGTTTTCGCGCGCTCGTATAAACCAATTAGAGACGTTTGTGAAGTTAGTAATCAAGAGAGAATCTTCGTTAGACCAATGAAACGAAAAATAGTCAAACTTATAAAGTTGAAGCGCACAACAAGGACCGGAGTTAGCTTTACAACTTACAGGGAATTTTTCACGTTGTTCGTCTTCCAGGGAGACCCTGGTGAAGAGGCTGCGATCGGATCCACCGAAGGAGTGAATGGTAATGGAAGCGAGGCTAAAGGAGAGAAGGTTCGTTGAATCTTGTTTGATTACCATGATAATGGTTGGAAGCACGATAGCTTGGTGTTTCGCGCTAGACTCGGATAAGAAGTTTGGGAACGAGACCTGAACGGGTCATTGTGTTGTTCTCTTGGGTAATGCACTATACTCTTACAGTGGCTCTCTTCCCACCCGGGGTCGGGCAATATTAGTTACGGATTATGTCATTAATTAAATTTCCAAGTAAATATTAATTATGTCACCAGATTGTAATTGATTGCGTTTCGGAGTGGGATAGATTTCATAATAATGTTAACAAAGTCCGTTGTTGATTTACTCTAAGAAAGATTTTGTAATTGCATTTGTTTACTCCACCTAATAAGGAAAGAGAAACGTGCTTTTGCATAATACGAATTATATATAGATGTCTTACAATTGTTTGGCTTGGGATTTTACTGTACTCGGGATTATGGGAAAATACTAGCTAGTAGTTACGCAAGGCGAACTATGAATACCGTAATAGATTGTTAGATTGTTACAGACTGTTAGAACGTCGGCGGTGTTCGTCGAAAATAAATCTGTTTCAAAAGAAGACTGTTTACAGTCGTGCGAAGTCCGTAGAGATTCCGCGACAACCCAGCGGGGGCATTGTTCACGAGCAGTTTGTTACAGAAACCAGAATTGATATCATGGCTTACTTGCTTTAGATAACAAGGTTTTATCAACTGAGTTGTTACTGTAAATTTGCCGCTATAAAGGGTTTCTAAAGCTGACTTTTCGAGAGTTCACCCTTCGTCAGAGCGACGTGATACAATCACCAACGCAACACTACAGTTTCCTTGGTAACTGGCCTCCTCATTTCATTTGTAACCTACAATGAGTTAAGGCTGATAGTTTCGAAAGAAACTGTTTGGGGCTGCGTCGGTGGAGGTAACGAAACAATTTGGATATATCAACAAAGTTGAAATGGTAAATTGGCCACCGTAACGGTTACAAAAGCTGACGTTTCGAGCGTTAGCCCTTCGTCGGAGCGAATAGAGGAATTGTGGGTTGTGTGTGCTTTTAAAGGCAGAAAATGGAGCTACGTTATTGGTGGGAACATGGCAACGAGAAAAACAAGAATAAATTAGTGGAATGAAAAGCGTTCGTTGATCCCTGTGGGATTTAGACTGCCGGTTTGAAAGATGAGCTTTTGTTCAAGATTTTTACGGCTTTCCGTGCTACCTAAGTGTAAGGAAAGACCGCAGATTGCCATATGTTGCTTAGAATGATTAGGTAAATTAAAATGTCTAGCGACTGGTTTCGATGTGTCCTTGTCATTCCTTTCCACGTCTCGAAGGTGTTCTCGGAATCGGTCACCTAGTCTTCTGCCTGTTTCGCCGATGTATATCTTTTTGCAATAAGTGCAAGTTATGCAATAGATTACATTGGCGGAGGTGCACGTGAAGTGATCGGTGATCTTAATGGATCGTTTAGGTCCCGATATTTTATCAGTGTTGTGAATGAAAGGACACGTTTTGCATCGTGCACGAGCGCATTTAAAAGTGCCTGGTTGGTCATTAGTCTGAAAAGAACTTCTGACCAAAAAATTGCCTATGTTTTTGTCGCGTTTGAATGAAATGAGCGGAGGCTGCGAAAAGATAGTGCTTGTCTCTGGATCGTTTTGAAGTAATTTAAAGTTTTTAAGAATGATGGATTTAACTGAGTGGTTGTGAGGGTGAAACGTGAGAGTGAATGGAATGCGGTCGGTTATTCGAGGAATTCCGTATAACCAGGAAAAACACTATAAAACAGTTTTAACACAGCATCGGCAATTTATATTCTTTAAATGTGATGTTCTTTAGTTCAAAGTGACTGTATTTCTCTGCTCGGGTTATGAAACGCTCGGGGTTTTTTCACCGCATGAATTTCTCTCGTAATTCTAGATTTACTATCAGTTTAGCATCAGTTCATTGGAAAATTGACAGATAGAAAGTGTACCGTTGAATAAAAATATAGAAAAAGTAAATTTGTCTGGTACAATTTTTAAATAAGCGCTGCGGCGTTTATTCGAGTAAATACGGTACGCATGTTCGATAACAGCACACAGCTGTACCAAATACTGTAGTCCCATGCAAGAAATTAGTCCGGTCCCCAAAAACTGCAGTGTAAACGCAACCTTGCTAACTTGGTCCTTATGCTTCTTATTGTCCGACCCGTGGTAAAACATCATCCGCGTAAACGGCTAAAATTATACGGTCCGTACTACTTTTTTGACACGTCCGTACCCGATTTTTCTGCCGTGTTAACGGCCTTAAAGTCTTGAGTGTATGATAACAAAACCGACAAGAATTGAAATGCGAACTACGAAAACAACTAGAACTCTTATTGACGTATTGCTGAGCAATCGACCAGAACGCTTTCAATGCTGTGGTAACTATGATCCATCTCGCAGCGACCATGCCCTGATTTGCCCTGAACAAAAAGGACTATACACACAATATTGAAATCCATCTAAACGAAAATGGGTCAATCGTCAGAAATCAGTGCGAAGTTGTCGAAATACTAGCTGACTATTTTGCCACAATTGCCGAAGGAATCGGGGGCAAAAGCGCCGAACTTCAATCTATGGAGGACTTTGAACACCATCCAAGTGTTCAGAAAATAGTGGCGAAATCTATAAACCAAACGCAAGGCATTGAAGTAAAACCTATCACACAAATGTAAGTTGAAGATTCTCTAGAGTCACTTAATATCAACAAAGCCACCGACTGTGACGGTATTCCGGGAAAAGCACTTAAGTTTGGAGCAAAGGAACTCGCGAGGCCACTTCAGACCCTATACACATGTATAAAAAATAAGGTTTGGCCAAGCGAATGGAAGTGTGGGGAATGGATGCCTGTATTTAAAAAGAGCGACAGATCCAGTAAGGAAAACTACAGACCTATCACAGTCTTACCATGTGTTGGTAAGGTCTTTGAGCAGCTCATGGGCAAGCAAATTACGATCGACCTCGACAAACACCTGTGTGCAAACTCATCAGCCTACCGCAAAAAATACAGCTACAAAACCACGCTGATCAACCTGGTGGAGGGGTGGAGAGAGGCCAGAGATAAACATCTTTTCGTAAGCGTAATGTCGACTGATATGTCAAAAGCTTTTGACTCCTTACATCCACCGCTGTTACTGAGCAAACTCAAAGCTTACGGCTTCCAGGGTAATATCATTGAACTTCTGAAAAGCTATTTATCGAATAGGAGAAATCGTGTAAGGTTAGGAAGCAATATCAGCTCTAACAGATTAGTCAGACGAGGCTGTCCTCAAGGATCCGCATTGGGTCCTCTGTTGCGGAATATATTCCAAAACGATCTATCTTATCATGTTAGAGATATATCAATGTACGCGGACGACCATCAGTTTTACCATACAGGTCATGACCTACCCACTACTACATCCAAACTTAGAGACAGTATGGAAAAAGCAACCAACTGGTACGAATCTAATCTATTAGTTGGTAACCTTAAAAAATACCAAAGCTTAATTATTGGTAGCAACAATAACTCTGAAAATAACATCGAAGAATGCGCTATCTTAGTAAACAATGAGAAAACCAACACGACCGCTACTCTCCAACTTCTCGGAGTCACAATTGACTCAAATTTGAACTTCAATAATCATATAAATACTATCTGTAATGAAGCCAGTCAAAGGATTGGTGTGCTTATGAGACTCCACAACTTGATTCCAACAAATGCAAAATTACAACTTTTTAAGGCAGCCATTCTACCATATCTAACCTACTGTCATCTCACATGGCATTTTTGTAAATCTAGTGATAGTCGCAGATTGGAGAGAGTTCAAGAAAGAGGCCTAAGGGCTGTATTCGAAGATAAACACTCCACCTATGAACGTTTGCTGCAGAAAGCTAATTTACCTTCGCTAGTAAACAGACGCTTACAGGATATATGCATTTTAATGTACAAAGTTAAACACAACCTTAGCCCCTTGAATATTTGTAACATTAAGATACACCAGTTAATTATACGTGACAGTGGCCAACTCGAAAGCGATGCTACTTTGGTCACTGTGCACATTTTACTTTTGATTCTTGATGTAATTTACTGTATTTATATATTCTGACTTTTATAATCTGTAGTAACCTCTTAGAATAGTGCGAATAGAGTTTCAGTTTCAGTATTTCAGAAACAAAACGCTTCCTATAATTTAACACAGGCCGACTTTTCTATTCCTAGATACAACACAATAACTTACGGCAAACATTCACTACGCTATTTAGGACCTAAATTATGGAGTAAACTGACAACTTATGACAGATCAGCCACAACATTAGCTAGTTTCAAAAACCGCATACGTAAGCGTGACCTCAGCTCCCTATTAGATGATGGCTGCAGGGGCTGTGCTCTATGTACTTCTTAATTCATTTCATATTTTTTCATACATGATATGACTTAATTTTATTCTTAAGTAGGTAATATTCTTTGTAAATAATTTTTATCCATTTTATTTGTGTCCCCACATTAGTATGGGATATCTCCCAAACTAGAAGGTTCTTTGACACGTTAATAAAGTTTCTATCTATCTATCTATCTATCTATCTATCTATCTATCTGTCTGTCTGTCTGTCTGTCTGTCTGTCTGTCTGTCTATCTATCTATCTATCTATCTNGCATTTTAATGTACAACGTTAAACACAACCTTAGCCCCTTGAATATTTGTAATATATTTCAGAAACACAACGCTTCCTATAATTTAAGACAGGCCGACTTTTCTATTCCTAGATACAACACAATAACTTACGGCAAACATTCACTACGCTATTTAGGACCTAAATTATGGAGTAAACTGACAACTTATGACAGATCAGCCACAACATTAGCTAGTTTCAAAAACCGCATACGTAAGCGTGACCTCAGCTCCCTATTAGATGATGGCTGCAGGGGCTGTGCTCTATGTACTTCTTAATTCATTTCATATTCTTCATACACGATATGACTTAATTTTATTCTTAAGTAGGTAATATTCTTTGTAAGTAATTTTTATCCATTTTATTTGTGTCCCCACATTAGTATGGGATATCTCCCAAACTAGAAGGTTCTTTAACACGTTATTAAAGTTTCTATCTATCTATCTATCTATCTATCTATCTATCTATCTATCTATCTGTCTGTCTGTCTATCTATCTATCTATCTATCTATCTACTTTAATATTTAACTTTTCAAATCTTTTCATGGCACGTTAGAGTGATCACACAGCAAGCGCTTTTAGTCATATTTGCGTTTACCTGTTTACTTCTAAAGGGACTGATTTTACGAAGTATTTTTTTGTATTTATTCTTGTTCTTCGTAGGGGGATCAAGGCGAGGTTGGCGAACCAGGTCCTCCGGTGAGTTTGTTACCGAGTAGTAAGGATCTCCTCATGTCTGTATATCAGAGAGCTACACAATTAAAACCTTTTCGTTTTTGAGTCCTCTTTCTTCAAGTCTGATTCATGAAGTCATGAGTGATCAGCAATCACCACCTTTTGCTTTGTTAGTAAAACTTGATTAGGTTACAAATAGCCAAGTTGCTTATCTGATAGGACTCTGAAACACGAAACTCTTTTTTCAATGAGTGCGTGAAGCTATTTTTTCAACGAGTGCTCGGAACTCTTTTTTCAACGAGTGCGCTCTTATGAAGTTTTTTCGTTCTTAGGGAGAAAAAGGAACAAACGGAACCAATGGGATAAAAGGAGAAAAGGTGAGAAGTGAACTGAACAGAAAAACAGCGTTTTGGTGGGAAGAGGAATAGAAGCTAGTCGAGCCAAAGGTTTTAAGGAAATTCGATCCTTGCTATGGTTGAACAGCTTTACGAGTTTTCAATTGCACTCTGTTCTCTCCAGACACCTCCTCAGGGCGAGCACTGCAATAATCAACCTTAATTGTGACATAACCAAAGTAAAGCGCGCGTTCTGATTGGTCAGTTTATCGTCCACCATTTTGCCCATGCGTGTACGCTGCTGACATGAGCAAATGCAATGACTATTTTTACGCCCGCGCTTGTTTTTTTCTGATCATGTAAGATTTGTTAAATAAAAGAAAACTCTTTTGCCACAATGTATCAGTCTTATGTTGTAAAACAAATGGTAAATGCCACAGTGTACACTACTGAGTTATGAATGCACTTGAGAGGTTTGCTATGCACTCAAGAGGCTAGATTCGCTCTCGGCTATCGCCTCACGCGACTCTTACGCTTCTTTCGTGCTTAGAAACCTGCCGCGTGCATCCGTAACTCAATAGTGTACGCTGGGGTTTTTACCATTTGTTAATTCTGTAGTTTGACCTTATTTTATGTCACTTTTGTTTTTAACAGGGGGAACAAGGAGTTGGTGAGAAGGTAAAGAATTATTACACATGGCCAAGTTGTTAAAAAAGGGTATATAACGTAATCCAACGGATGAATTGATGTCTTGCGAATAATTGATTGCAAAACGTACTGCGTTATCTACCGTATTAGGAACTACCCACTAAGCAGCATTATCCACCCTTCGAACAGCCGAAGGGTGGATGAAAACATAAAACCGATGTCTAAGATGTTTGATAATTCACATATTAACGTCATATTTGTCTTTAACAAAACATGACATTCAACTCTTCCAGGGTCAAAAAGGCGATAATGGCATCACTGGAAACAAGGTTAGAATGAACATTTTCATCTCATGAAATATGCTTCAATGTGATTTTTTGTTCTCTGTAAGGAATTGCTGACTCCAGGTTTAATTTTAGGGAGGGCCAGGAGAAAGAGGTGTAAAGGGGACCAAAGGAGAACCAGGGCTCCAGGGAAAACAGGGGCCTGAAGGTCCTGAAGGTCCTGAAGGTCCCCCGGGGGAAACTGGTGAACCAGGAGATCCGGGGGAGACAGGAAATACAGGACAAAAAGGACAAAAAGGGGAGAGCGGAGACAATGGGATGAACGGAGAACCTGGACAGGCAGGGAAAGATGGAGTCAACGGAACCAAAGGAAGTAAGGTGAGGAAAAGTTTCATTTCTTAGTACACGCATCATCCCTATTATTACGATCGAAACTATGACAAAATTCTCGAACGTGATTGGTTATCACCAGCCCGTTTGCAGCTCTAATAGGACAGTTAACGCGTCAAGCTTGTGTAAGTGGATGGTACGCGTCATGTGCGCGCGCTTTCATCGCGCATTTCGCCGAGTTAACTGTTGCTTTTTTTTTTTTAATGAAAACGTAAAACCGATGTCTAGAGGTCTAGCGACTTTTTCAATTTGGTATTATTCCAGACCGAATTGGAGGCGACTATATTCATATTATCGTTATAATCATTATCATTATTATCATTATGGCCTTTATTTTTTGTTACTATAACTTTTCTATTTATCAGTTAGTCTTTGTTTCTGTTCTTTTCCTGTTAATTAATTCCTTTAGGTCAATTGGCCTAAAAATTTCCCTGACTGCCTTTACTCTGACGTACGATTGTTGGGTTTCAATTAAGAATAAATAGTCCTGGAGGGTAACCAGGGTTTTTTTTATCTTTCTATCTTTAAGGGTCAAAGAGGCGACCTAGGTTTCCCCGGACTCAGAGGTACACCAGGAAGCAAGGTGAAATATTTTTTTTGCCTCTATATTTCTTGTAACAGCAATTTTTTTAATTTAAAACCTTTTTTAATTAATTTCATCTTCCATAGGGAGAAGCGGGAACACAAGGATTGCAAGGACCAAAGGTAATATCTTGTCAGATAAAGAACGCTCATTGAAAATACTACGTTCTATGAGAGCCAAATTTGCTGCTAATCACTTATCACAGCTGTGAATAAGTAAAGACAGGTTTAATGTTTAATTAACAATCTACAAGTTTTAGTTTAGCATTACTAGAGCTTGCAAAATTCTGCTTTTAGTAAAGAATGAGACATTTGACACCTAGAATAGAAGAAATCGTCGACCATAAACTTGAATCGTAGGCTGTAGAATTATATCTATAGCTGTCCATTTGTTACACATTATATCTACGGCCAAATACCATTCATAGTTCATCAATCTTTCTCATGTTAGGGAGAGCCAGGAAATTCAAGTGTAGGACCTATGGGACCGCAAGGACCGCTGGGAAATCCTGGCAACCCAGGCCCTCCGGTAGGTTTTACCACAAGGAGTACGATCAACAAAATATCAAAACACGCTTTCGGTATTGTTGATTTCGATCCAAGTCGGTAGCTGAATAACTGTTCACCTACCCCTCCCCTTACCCAACATTAGACCTAACCTTCACCCCTTTATTTTATCAGTATGCAGGTTGTTTGTCACCTATAATCTGTTACATGACCCTGCTGACCGACAAGTTATTTGAATTGTATTTTTGGATTAAAATAGAAGAAAAATTTGAGTTTGTCTCAATATTTCTCAAGTTTGACAAAAGCGATGCTACAACAGCATCACGTATTTATAATAATAATAATAATAATAATAATAATAATTTAATATTCATATTGCGCAAATAAGCATGTGAAATGATCAAATGCGCATCATAACACTTTTCGAGGGACTTTGGCGGGACTGCATCAGCAGTTTACAAATAATCGAAGGAAACTTATTTGAAAATGCCCCCTCACCCCCCCAATTCCCAGTAAACAAGCCAGACCACATCACAGTAATCTCGTGAGTGGGTTCTTTAACGTCCCCTGCCTAACCAAATTAACTAATTAATAGATGCAGGAGACGGGACCTACGGTTTATTCGTCCTTATCCGAGAAGACTAGAATGTCTATCCGTTTTTTGATACTATAGAAAGGTAGCGCATTTTCCTTAGTTATTTTAAGACCTTGAGTGTTGGTCCGGCCGGGGCTCGAACCATCGACCTCGATCTCCCGCACAACAGTCCAGCACTCTGACCAATCGAGCTAACCGGGAGGCGGTTATCTCTATTATAGGGACCACCCGGAATATCCGGTCCTTCCGGGACCCCGGGGAAAGATAGCAATGTTTCTGGTCCTCCGGGGCCACCGGGACCTCCAGGACCCCCTGGAGAAAATGCAGAGATTGGCTTCACTAGTGGAAAAACTGAAAATTCAGGGGTAAGATCATTATGTTGCCTCCGTATATTATCTTTATGTTCATTACTTGAGGGCCACAAGTTCATCAGTTGAATTACTGTCATGTGTTACCCTCGTTAAATAAAGTTGTTATTATTATTATTACTATTATTATTATTACTATTATTATTATTATTACTACCTTGGCTAATGATCATAAGGGTCGTGTTATCTCGAGGTGCTACAGTCTACCCACAGTTCAAACTATCCTTCCACGTCATTCAGCATAGGCATCTTTCTCGAGATAGGAGAGTAGCTTTATGTGTGAGGTTCACTGCAGTGTCGACACCCATATTCCTATGTTGAGGACATGCCCTCTCAAAGATTTCTACCTATCATCATTATTATCGTCATCATCATCATCATTATCATCGTCGTTCTCTTCATCACCATCACTATTATTATTATCATTGATATTATTATAGATATTTTTTTTAATGGAAGGTGCTGGTATTTGATACACAAGTCAATCTTATCCGTGATGTAGAGAAAGTAGAACAAGGCACTCTGGCTTTTGTCATCTCCGACCAGATGTTATATATAAGAGCTTTACGCGGCTGGAGATCGATCACGGTAAGAAATCATTCCACTCTTTCTTCATCATCATTACCATCACTTTTTCATCATTGTCATGAGCATTACCATTGTTATAAGCTTTAGTATTGTCAAACTTTTATCATTATCGTCATCGTTATCAGTATTGGTACCATTATCACTATCGTTATCATTATCAATGTTGGTGTCATTATCATTATTATCATCGTTGTCGTTGTCACTATCTTTATTGCTGTCGTCATCATTATCGTTACTAATGTTGAAATTATCGTTATCGCTATTATTATTGGTGTCACTATCATCATTATTATTGCCGTCGTTATCAGTATTGTTGTCGTTATCATTATCGTGTCTATTATTGTAATCATTATAGTTATTGTTGACATCATCATTATTGTTATCATTATTGTTGACATCATCATTATCGTTGTTAGAATCGTTATCAATATTGTTACCATTATCGTTATCAATATTGTTGACATCATCATCATTATTATAATTATTATATTCTACCATTAAACCAGCCTAGAAGTTGGGGAAAGATAGGTAGCGACCCATTTGAGACGTCAGACATCCAGCGTCATTCTTAGAATCTGGCAAAATCCCGGGAGAGTGAATTGTTGTTTTGTTCTTATTTCATCTCTTTGTAGTTTTAAGCGACCCTCAGAAACTTATAAAGTTTTATTGCACAGGTCTTGTGTTTGTCATTTTTCATTAAAACTTTTTTTGGTTAAATTTTTCTTGTTTTCGTATTTTTTTTGTGTTGCTCCTTTTTCCTATGCCCACAGCTTGGCCCAACCATCTTCGCGGGTCCAACAGAGGCTTCCCAAACAACGAAATTATCCACTATCAAGGTATTTCAATCACATGAAGATATTTTTCTGCATCGTAAACGAACAGCAAAACTGTAAGTTTCTTTATCACTTTCTTTATAAATTCGGCCGAGACGCCTCCTGTATCTTAGCTACCGTGCTTAGATGCCGTGCTTATTTGTAAGTTGTCTCTTTCGCAGCCTCCTACGGGTCTCATGTTATCTCCAGCAAACGTCAAACTACGAGGACCATATGTAAGTAGCACATATTCTCTCTTACGTATAACTCAGCTATAATTGCATGGGTGAGCAGAAACGGTATTAGTTATCATATTTGATAATTTCCTTTTTGCAAATGCCACAACAGCTTAATCGACTCTGTAATAACCTTGCTTTACTAAAAATCCAAGTCTACTTTATATAATGGTGGAACATGTTTTAACTGTGCTCATTAATGCTTAGATCGATTTTCTTTACAGGTGCGCATGATCGCCCTCAATGCACCGCAGACTGGTGAGATGCGCAGCGTGAAGGGTGTGGATGAAATGTGCTGGCGGCAGTCCCGTGCAGCTAATCTAACAGGAGCATATCGAGCTTTTATTTCAAACACGCTGCAACATGTCTATTCAATTATCCACAGAAGGGACAGAAATCTCCCTGTTGGTAACCTTCAGGTACGACTAGGAGTACTCTATAATGTTTCATACATGATCGCCACCTTGAAACGTTTTCTCTTTTTACTTCATTGCGAATTGAGGGGTTCAAGATACTTCGTGTAGTTAACAACAAAATGTCTCTGGTACTTTTTTTAGGGAGATCAGCTTTTTCCTTCTTGGAATTCCTTATTCAAGTCACGATATGCATTTAATCCTGATATCCCACTCTATTCATTCAATGGATCAAACGTTCTAAAAGACCCAGCCTGGTAAGTAATTGTACATGAAGCACTTTGCTGGTTAATAAAGTGAATTGCTTGGTCAATTAATAAAATAACTAACTGAATATTTGGCTGGGGGATGGCCTACTGACTGAATGGCTAACTGACTGACTAGCTACCAGACTGACGGACGAGAAAATAGCCATCGACTGACCGATACAGTGCAGTGTCTTTCTATCAAATGGATGACGATAGACCTTTGAAAACTTTGATAATTAACAAAGTGGTCAGCCAAAAGACTTGATAACTGACTTTACAAATGACTAACTCTCTGCGCTGATTGGCCTCTTGACTGCGTCAGTGAATACCTGAATGACTAGCTTAGTGACTGGCTGCCTCTTTGACTGATTGACTTTCGGACGCAATGATTGGCTGGCTGACTGGCCGATGTTGCACCGGTTTACTTTGAACAAGGTAGACAGCCTAATTTCAAACTTCTCTGTCGACCAAACGGTCATCTATCTCTTCAATTGTTTTATCTTTTTTTTTTTACCCAAAGTAGAGTAGGTTTGTTGGTATTTAACTTATCCCGTGACGCTAAAGTGCAGTCAATATGAATTTCAAACTAACTTACCTTTTGATAAAGTTCTAAAAAAATTATGTAGACGTTGACGAGCTTGTAAAACGATTTTCAGGCCCCTCAAGCACATTTGGCACGGATCGCGAAAAGATGGCCACAAGTACCCATTAAATTGTCGGCGCTGGATGAGCAGTCGCTCCAGGGACTCCAGTACGGCCTCGGCCTTGAATGGCCGCGAGCTAGCTTTGGCCGAGCGCGAATTTCCTTGCAGCAGTGATCTAGTGGTGCTGTGTGTGCATATAAACCCCACACTACGCCACCGATACAGATCTCGCCATAAAAAGGTTTTGTGAAGACTTGTTGAAACAGTTACGTTTTGAAAGAGGACACAAAGAGGAGACTGGGCACTGGTCAAGCGTTGGCTCACCACTGCGCATGCCTGCGAGGTGTCGATACCACCCACATGACAAGCTGGTGCGAAAAGAATCTGTTTTAATTAAAAAATAAATAAATAAATAAATAAATAAGCAATTAAAATTTTTATTTCAATTCCACTGGACGAAAATATTATCATATTTATTCGCTACGAAACCTTAAGCGTTTTTAGGACAGCTTAGATATTTTGCGTTACAAATAATATGTTGATATAAGCGCGTGTTCGAATGCGCGCTTAAGAGAGATAAGGTGCTAGTTGAAACGGTATTATTCTTATAATAGTTCATGGATGGCACATGTTGATGGATTTCCCTTAAAAACGTTTCATTTAGACTCAAAAATTATTTTTAATACCGTTACTATTTCATAATTCTTAATCAAGAAACTATCCTTCTTGAATTCATATAAGTGGTCTGGGAGTGTCCATACAAATTGTATTATGTTGTAAATTAATCTAGGATTTTTTTGTTCATTATTTTGCATTCAAAGTTTGTAAGTTAGATTAAGTGTAATTAGTTATAGCCTTAGGTAAGTTAGGACAGTCTCTATGAAATGCTATTATATGATATTATAAATTATGATATTATAAATTATAATATCATGAGGCCCCCTAGAACCTAAATTTTAACCTTGAACTCCTAGAAGTGATTAACTTGTGACTTCTCCCTATAATATCCATACATTATCCAGAAAACAGGTAATGAGAATACTTAAACTTATCAGATAGAAGCTGTTTCCTTGATTGAACACCAAATTCTCTTGACCAGTTTACAAGGAAATGTGTAGCAGCTAGAGAGGAGAATTCATAATCAGATCTTGGGAGTTCAAGGGTGAATTTGTGAGTCGGTTTATATTTTTTACATGATGTGGATATAACGATGTTCTAATTATGTCTTCTTTTTAAGCAGGTGACTAAATGTTTGAAGTAACTGGACCTGTTAACTTCTTCAAATACAGCCATGTCTGTATTAGCTATAATAAAGCTCAATGTTATTGGTAAATTTTATTTCGAAGTCTGCTGACAGATTTTAATATTGGTAAACGTACTGTAGGATGTAACCTTTCAGACACATTCGCCATTTCCCTTGTGGTTCTTGAGCTGGCGTTAGAAACCGAAACAAACTCCCCAAACCCACTTGAAAGACAGTTCTGCCTTTGGCATGTGTCAGTCGAAAGACTTGACATCGATTGGTTTTTATTTTCTGGCCAATTATTTAAGGCGCTCAAGTAGCTTAGTGAAATGATATCGCCGCATTTTCGAAAACAATAGGGTTTGAATATTAAAATTTTTTTTTAGGTTTAAAGTAGACAAGTGTGAGGTAATCTTGAGATGTGGGAAGAAAGAAAACGGGAAACTTTTTGGTGTACGTTTTGATCGATGACGAAAGAACACGAAAGTGTCAAGTTCATCAAAACGTAGAGAAATGAAAGATAAGGAAATGAGATGTCAATCATCCAAACCGTATAAAATCTAGCGAAGATCTCTTTATTGCAGAGTTACAAGAGGTCTAAGTGTAGAACATAAAACTTCGCTTTTCGTACAATGACTCGCGAAGATTTACCGAAGTCCTCCGAATCATTTTCGTGGATTTGGATTCCAGGCTGGTTCATAACAATGCTTGGAATCTTTGGAAATGCAACGGTAATTTATCTTATCGCCACAAACCGACGTCTTCGAAAGCAAGTCAACTTCCTTATCGTTTCTTTGGCCGTTGTTGATTTCCTCTTCAGTTTGATGAATTTTCCGTCGTATTTCATTTGTGAATTTTACCTTCCGTGCGACAGACAGCTTCGGGAAATCTTCGCCACGTACTTCGCTTTTTTGTCGTTGACAAACTTGTGCGCCGTGACAGTGGACCGTTATGTCGCCATAGTAGTGCCATTTAAGTACGTCTCCTTCGTGAAGGCAAGAGGGGTGATGACCATTGTGATATGCAGCTGGCTTTTACCAACTGTGTTCTATTTCCTTGTAGCGATATCCTTAGCAAACACGGCATCGAAAGAAGTAGTGACAACGTTCAACATTTTAAGGGTTTTTGTGTTTCAACTGATGCCGTGTTTCTCTTCACTCCTTGCGACAACACGCGTGTTTTACATTGCACATAAACACCCAAGAAAGATGTCAAGACAACGGACGCAATTGCAGTTTAATCACTCCATCTCGACACTCAGGCCGAAAGGCGGCTTGGAAATTTCGTCCGCGAGGTTAGTCGCTGTCGTGGTTTGTGTAATGGTTATTTGTTACATCACAGACTCGTACTTCGATCTCCGTTCATATTTTAACTCTTCATATCTCCCTGCGTACGAAACAAATTAAGTAAGATGTCTTCTTTATATCACGAATTCGGCCTTTAACCCGGTGGTATATGCACTGTTGAAACCAGACATCAAACAGGAAGTTAGGCGACTATTTCGACGAAAAACTTATAAATAAATGGACGATAAAGCCATCAAATTTGAAAATCTTTCAAGAACTAGAGCCAAATGCGCCGTGACGTCAGTTAATAAAATATTTTAGGATGGCAGTATAGTTTGGCTCGGGTAAGTACTTGGTGTAATCCTTAATGTATGTTAATGAATGCAAATGATCATGTATTCCCATATGCTCTTCTGTATTGATGCATGTATGAAGGATTTCACCAAGTACCTACCTTGGCGCGATTGCCAACCGCTGTTCAGGATATTAGCCCGCGCTCTTTCCCCGAACTGATACCAAACATTTGCAGGAGAAGACCGAACCCGAGGGTACTGCGGAAGTCAAGGCTACTTTAAGCACAAATTTAATCTTTGAGTGAGACCATTCCTAATTTATTGATAGATTTTCTAAGAGTGCCATTATTTCTTTAAAAGTACTACTACTTGCGTCCAAGTTTGCGATTTTCCGTAGCAAAAACAATCTGAGCCGCACCCAATTTGCATGACAGGCGGGTAATTGCACAAATGCCTTGCTCGCTATCCAGCACCAGACATACAAGTATTTAGATAGTAGTGACTGTAGCGCAGTGCGAATTTTTACGATGGACCTCAGTAAGGCTTTCGACTTTGTGAACCACGCTATCTTGTCTGGCAAACTGAAACAGCTACCTCTAAATCCGTACATTATCAATTAGTATCATAGTTTCCTCTATGCAAGAGAACAACGTGTTGTTAGTTATAAATTTTTAGGACGGTGGAAATATGTCAATAGAGGAACCACACAAGGTAGTGTAAGCGGACCGTACCTTTTTAATATATTTTTCAATGACTTGAAGATTTTTTTTAATGGATGCCCTGTCCTTTTTAAATATGCCGATCATTCCACCATTCTTTCGCCTATCACTAGGAATAGCGACCCGTCTCCCGACTAAGTAGGACAGTTCTTAACATGGTGTTAAGACAATAGGATGGTCTGCAACCCTTGCAAATGTATAGAGCTGGTTGTTAGAAAGAAAAATCACAATTACTCTACTCTCCAATTAATAATATTCCCCAATGTAATAGACCACTTTCATAAATGGCTGCCGGATTAATATTCTTTAGTTTGAATTTAAATTAGCCCATCTGGCCTCGCTTGAGATAATGTATTCTTTTGAATTTTGTGCTGGAGAACGAGGTCAGCAAGGCAAGTTTAAATTTAAACAAAAGAATATTAATCTGGCAGCCATTTATGAAAGTGGCCCACAGCTTCGTTTTGTTGAGGTTTTTTTTTACCACTCGCTTGGACGAATTAACAAAAGGTACCAAGAATCTGTAATTCTCTTCTCTATTCTCTACTCTTCTATTGTTGCTACTACCTTCTATTACCGCAGCTATTTCTCTTCTAACTTCAGCAAAGAGTGCCCTCGCATTTAATGTAAAAATCACAGACATGTTTGGGTTAGCTGACCGTGGGAATTTCCAAAACAGGATTTTCAGTGTGGATAAATCTCAAGGTCAGTTTTACCAACCCAAACATGACCCCCTATGAAACTAATTATCCTCAACCACAACAAGCGATTAAAATGTCTAGTACGGAAAGAACTGAGCCAAGTTAAAGCACACACTAAAAACAAATGTTCAAAACTAGAGATCTACCAAAATAACCGTTAGAAGCAAAAAGGCGAGACTCGTCAAAACAAAAGGTAAACCTAAAAATACTCAAAATAGCAATCCTTTAAAATACTCTACAACAGTTTTACTAAGAGTAACTCTACAGGGTGACGGAAAATTTGATGAGCATGTATTTCATTTCCAGTCTTTATCGAGAACCTTTTAAACAAACAAGACCGAAACATTTTGATAATATTAATATCAACGGATTGCCACCCCCTGAAAGACATCATTCCTGTCCAGAAGACTTATGTACACAATCTTGGGAAAAAAGGCTGCGCACGCCCGAAAATTAATACACAGCGCTTTATGAACACCTTTGTAAATAGGTTGATATTTAAGCTCCATTTATTGTAATAACATACTTTTTAATTCATAATATGTGTGTGATTTCTATTTGTAGTTTTTCCGAATTCATTGTAACATAAGATATGTAGTTTTATCTTATGATGGAAAAAAGACTTTATCATTATTATTTGTTGAGGGTCTGGATGG